TAGGTATTTTGGGCCAAAAATTAAAAATGGACTATAAGATTTATAAAAACGGGATAAACCAACCTAAAACTAATTCTTTCTTCTAAAATTATGTACAATTATAATATAAAAATATAAACTAATTTTAATTAATTGAACTAAACTATAAAACATAAAACTATTTTTTTTTTGTGTTTTCAAGATTATAAAAATAAAGATAGGGTACTATTTTTGTAATTTTTTTTTAAGATTAAAAATGACTATAAAATATTAATAAACCTATTTTTTTTGTAATTTTATTTTCTTGTAATAAAATAAAGTAAAATAGTAAAAATTAGTTGAAATGGCGATATTAGGCCTAAACTAAATATTTACATGCTAAAATGGGTAAAATTTTGGGGAGGGTCAAAAATCACATGTCAACATCTATCTTTTGAATCTCTTATTCCTTTTTATCATAAGAGTGGATAGATATTCTTGCCTTAACGATCCTTATCAAGAGGCTTACGCGTCTTAGTATCCACATGTTCTACTGGAGACCTTACCTTTACTCATCATAAGCATGATGCAAAATCGAGTTCCTCTGACTCAATTCCTCTTCAGCCATATTCAATCTCTTACCAACCGTCTTTCTACATATAGGCATCGTCATATTATGAATAAGATAGAGTTTAGGAAATTGAGTTCTTAGAACTCAGCTACCACACGATCTAGAGTAAGAAAAAAGAGTGACAGTCCTAAATGCCATGTAGTCTCCTGCTTATAAGTGCGGTGCACGACACACCCATAAACAAGACTCTACTAGACACGTCTTATAGACTTCCTAGGACAGAACTGCTATGATACCACTTTTGTCATAACCCAAATTGATGGGCCGCGACGGGCACCCGGTACCTTATTCAACCAAGTACCAACACAATGTATCTTTTCGTATCATCCTATCATAGATAACTGAGCCGGAGAGGCTACCGTAAAATAGGTAGAATCTCACATGTAATACCAACTTATACATAAGACATATGGGCCTCTAAGACCAAAATAACCACTTGTGCATTGAACATAGGCCGACAAGGCCATACAATCTTTTACGTACATGATATTTATCTACAAGCATCTAAGAATACATAATTGTCATAAAGGTCAGGACAGAGCCCCGCCATACCAAACAATACTCATATAACATACTGACCAAACAAGCAACTCCGGAGCAAATGGAGTGCACGAACAACTTTTGCTGAGCCGATCGCCTACTTGGAGGACTTTCAACCGGTCTATCGAGACCTGCGGGCATGAAACGCATCCTTGGCAAAAGGGACGTCAGTATGAATAAGGTACCGAGTATGTAAGCCATATAAATAAGTACATAAAAGACATGGAAGAAATATAGAGTAAATGACTCAACCTATAAGTCTGGATAACTCTGTAAATCATGAAATACTTATAATGTCATGCATATGCGTATGAATGTTATGTCGTGCATAGGTAAATGTGTTCATAACATCATCAAGCCTCTGAGGGCATCCCATTATATCATCTCGGCCACTGTGGGCAAAATTATCAACGTATACCAGCTGATCAAGTTGTGGTGTGTATATAACATCATAAACTTTCCCACATCCCATATACAAATATATATACACACACACACATATATATATACGCGTATATAACGCCATCTGGTCATGGGTCAATGAATATGTATTAATGCAATGCATGAAAAGTACGTCAATAAAATCTTTCAGAATGTCATAAGACAAGTATGCCTTTGAGTAATATCATAAAGTAAACTTTTTCAACTTGCGTATTTTTCTGGGACCCATGAACAGATGATAAAATAATAGGACACATGGGAATTCAAGAACATAGGCACCTTTAATACTTCTATGAATAGAGTCATTTATGGAAGTTGTGCATTTTCTCATTTTGTTTGTATCGTATAGATTATGCCAAAAGAAAGGAGGGATAGCCTTAACATACCTGAGTCGATTCTCTTGAAAATTCCTCTGACACACGTTAATTGTGACAAAAACACGTAACAACGAGATTGAAATAGTATACAATCCGTGTGAAATGGTCAAAGCAATGACGTTGCTATTGCAAAATCATCTTTGTTGAAACACTTTCTCAAGAGATTTGTAACGTTACTATGTATATTTAATGAAAAACATGCTGAAACTCTTCTCAAGAAATGTTGCATCTTTGTTGGAACTCTTTTTCAAGAGGTTTATAACGTTACTAGCAGCCTATGTATTTCCCACTTAGATGATATATCACAATCCTTATCTTTGATTAAGCAATCCCTTTTTCCATCCCTTTCTTTATGAATTTGAAAGTTTATTATTAAAGGGGTGGGTCCTACTTGCAAAATGACTAAACCAACAACTTTCCATTAATGTGACACCTTGCTAAAATGGGTAAGAGTAAACTATTTAGGCTTAATGTGCTGCCACATGAGATTTATTTGGTCTTTATCCAAAATACCATAATTATCCACCAACTCCCTAATCAATTTATTAATTCCCTACTAATCCAATATTTAACAAATTATCCACATAATTAAGAATTATGTCAAATTATTTAAAATACTACTCACTTTCAACACACCTTATACACCTTACTATCATGGTCATGTGGTACCTTGTATGGTATTAGTCCATAAATATCGGGTATTATAGCTCAGACCGTATTTTATCCCAAATTGTCAAACTTTGATGAAACTCGTTTTCTTCGATTCACTTACCCTTTCACCTTCATGAATTTACTTATTACTTGTTTGAAATAGCATGATATTTATAATCCCAAAATATTCTCATTCCCGAAACTTATGTTGATTAACTTACGACGAAACTTTAACGTACGAAAATACGGAATGTAACGTATCATTTTCGAGCATATATCAATTTATTATGGCGTACATTCACGTACGAAAACATGGGTGTCACGTCCCAAAATCCGAGGAGCGCGACCGGCGCTCAATCGGGTGAACCCGACGGAGCAAGCCTTACCGAGCACTTTCTACCCCAAATCAATATGTATACGGGAATCATGCCTTTCATTAATTTAGACGATAACACACGGTGTACACCACATTACTGGTTCACTTCATATCATACAAATTTACCGTACATAAGCTAGCTTCAAGGATTCTATTAGGGTTACAGCCTAAGGAGATTACAAGGTTAGGATTACAACATATACATACAGCGGATTCCCCGGGCACCCGCACATAACCCACACTAGTGTCTTTGGAGCCTCTAAGGATACAACAGATAAGCATGACTAGGCCGGCAACAAGGCCCCGGCTGTACCTCAAAAGTGAAAGCTGTAATAACAAAAGATACACCATATGGCCCCATGGAAGAAAAGGGGCTCACCGAGACTTTGAGTAGAAGAAACGCTCCGCTACACACGGTCGGCACCGTCCGCTATGGAGCCACCTACAATCATAACACGAATGTAGCGCCCCCGGCAAAAGGGACGCCAGTACATTTGAATTGTACTGGTATGTATAGCTAAACACCATTTTACTAGAAAGAACTACCAAACAGATACAAGCAAATAATATGGGCAAGTCAAAGAAGCAATTCATATAATCTTTCATACAATTTCCACAACATGGATTAGGGCATTTCTGTCACGTGTTCACCGCTGTTCTCATTACCACCGCTATCCCAAGCAGAGTCCGATCACGACCCGACCGGCTAGGTCACCTCATTGGAGGCATTACTCTTCAAACAGTATTTCATTTTCTTTATCTGGAATCCAATATCAGCACATTACCACCATGTGTGTGGCATGGTGTCCGATCACGACCCGATCAGCTAGGTCACCTCGTTAGAGGCATTTCTCCATTCTCATTAGCCAACACTTCAAGTCTTTATTCCATGCATAACATAACAATTCCTGGGGCACTCATGGCCACCATCATCACATCGTTTCCCCTTTATTTTTTTGATATTTATTTTACAAGTTGTGAACATATACACATATATTGAGGATACTTCAAATTGCAATCACAGGTAAATGAGCACATAGCTAGCATGAATAATTCTTTGTTCCAATGTTGGCTTATAGCCCAAGTATTTCCACACATAACTGTACTTTCCGTCATTATCGAATTGTCAAGATTGGCACATTATTCACGTTGGGGCACATCCTTCACGAATATGTACAGACAATTGCATATCAATTAATGCGTAATAACAAGCAATATGCTAACCAATTCAACTCTTACCATGCTTTCATAAATGACAACGAGCTCAATTTCTAATAAAAAGGGGTTTTAGCCATACATACCTCAATAAAGCTTTCTTTACTCTTTTACAAATTTCCGGACTCTTAGCACTTCGATCTATTGAGTAAGAATTACAAATGAAATCGAGAATTAGAGAGCAGATTGAGACTCTAGCTTGGTTCAAGCATATTGACAAACCCTAGAGGTGCAATATGATTTTAGGCCTCCTTGTTGAGAGCAATTTATATCACTTTGAACCCCTCTTTAATTCACCACCTCCCACTACTCTAAGGTTTAACATGCATGCAAGGAATCCATTTATACCCATGAATAACCTCACTAGTGACCCCTTATATCTGAGAATAAAACAAACAAGAGTTGGGGGTATGAAGTATTACCTCTTGAGATGAAGGTCTAGGGGTCTTCGCTTGATTTTCTTCAAGGATTTAGTCGTATCTTATGGAGAAATTTGATGGAGAGACTTTCCCTCTCTAAGAACCCTCTCTCTCTCTCTAGAATGCTCAGAAGAATGCTTAAAATGAGCTATAACACCGGATATATCATATGGGAGTCGGGTTAAAAATTAAAAAAATTGGAGCCCCGAGTCAAATATGCGGTCGCAAATGCGACCGCAGAGTAAACATGCGGTCCGCATAATGAACCGCAAAAATGCTTCCCAAAAACTAAACATTCTGACTCAGTCTGCGGTAAGAATGTGGTATGTATTCATGTTCTGCGGTCGCAAAGTGCACCGCAGAACTGACCCTCGCAAAATTCAAAAGAAAATATGACCTACATCTTAGTGGCGGTGGACTACGTCTCCAAATGGGTCGAGGCAATCGCCTTGCCCACCAATGAAGCAAGGAGTGTAACCGCATTCTTGAAGAAGAACATATTCACACGGTTTGGTACCCCAAGGGCCATCTTGAGTGATGGTGATTCTCATTTCTGCAACAAGGCTTTCGCCGGGCTGCTTGAAATGTATGGTGTAAAGCACAAGGTGGCCACACCCTATCATCCTCAGTCGAGTGGTCAAGTTGAAGTTTCTAACAGGGAAATCAAGAACATCCTAGCAAAAACTATCAATGCAAATAGGACTGACTGGTCAAGGAAGCTAGATGATGCGTTGTGGGCATATCGCACAACACTTAAGACTCCTATTGGCACTTCACCGTACCGGTTTATTTTTGGCAAAGAATGTCACTTACCAGTGGTGCTTGAACACAAAGCCATGTGGGAATTGAAGAAGTTGAATCTTGACTGGGTCAAGGCTACTAATATAAGAATGACACAACTCAATGAGATGGAGGAATTCCGTCTCCATGCCTATGACAGTGTAGCTATGTACAAGGAGAGAATGAAGTTTGTCCATGATAAGAACATCTTGAAGCGGGAGTTCAATTCCGATGACTTGGTCTTACTCTTCAATTCAAGACTCAAGTTATTTCTAGGAAAACTCAAGCCCAAATGGTCTGGCCCGTTCAAAGTTGTGAGTGTGTCCCCCTATGGTGCTATTGAACTGGAGTCGGAGGATGGGACCTGAACTTTCAAAGTGAATGGTCAACAAGTCAAGCATTACCTTGGTACCACAAGCGAAAGGCATTTGATAGAACAATTTGCTCTAAAGGATAGTCCAACAGTAGTCCCCACCAATGAATAGCCAAAAAGGGGTCAATTGCGTCGTGACGCGACGATAAATCAAGCGCTTCTTGGGAGGCAAGCCATGTGTGGTAACACTCTTTTGTAGTTTTTTTTTTCATTTATGTAGTTTAGATTGAGAAAGTTGACGTGTGTGTTAGAGTGCAGGTAATCCCAAAATATCATGAACAGGGTCCTAGTGCTGAGGAAACTAAAGGAAAGAAAGGTCCAGAATTGGCGACAACTATGTGGTCGCATAATGACTATGCGAACCGCATAGTCATCGCATATTCATCGCAGACCCAAGCAGAAAGATTGGTTAACTTGGTGTTCAAAAATGCAGTAAGCTTTTCACTTATGCATCCTGCATAACAACTTTGCTATCACATAATGCATCGCAAAGTCAGTTTAGGTTGCCCAGTCATTAGTCCATCGCATAACACATATGCGATCGCATAATGTGTTCTGCGATGGACTTAAGCGCCGCAGACTTGACAGGTACAAAACCCTAACCTTCTGCATTTTCATCCTCACTCTTATCACACACTAACACTTAATCAAAATAAAAAGAATAAGAAAACATTACGAGCAAGGAAAGAAAAGAGAAAAGATCAAATAGAAAAAAATTACTCACCAAACAAGGAATCCCACTCACACGAAGCATTTCAGGCTTGCATAATCTCGCTCATATTGTAGTATGGTTTTTCTTCTCCATCTCATTATTGTGACTTATGTTTCTTCCTGAATTCTGAGCTTCATGGTCGCCCCCCTTGTTCCCCTAAATTCCCTCTGAGTACGGTAGCATAGTGGTGAGGATTTGGTTGAGTGACTGTGTGGGTTCTTGTTGATGAAACAAAAAGGGGGAAGTCTAAGTACCCCTCTCATTTTAAAATGACTAAATGGCCTATAAAAATAATGAGAAATCTAAGTAGGTAGCAATAGGAAAGCACGTGAGTGTGATGTGCATATGGTGTGAAGAACATGTGAGTAGGGTGTGCATATCGAAAAGCAAAAAAAAGGGGGGGCACTGTTTCAATGAAGAAGACGATCTTTTCGGGCCGCATAATTGGTTTGCGGTCCGCAAAGTTTTCACATAAGACCCCTAGGTGGTCTACTACAAAAATGGTTATGCGACCGTGTTTGCAATCGCAAACCACTTATGCGATCCGCATACGTGCCGCAAAGCGAGGCAGACCATTAGCCTTTCTGGTGAGAAGAAATGCGACCACTTTGCAGTCGCATAACTAAATATGTGGTCGTTTTTGTGATCGCATAATCGTTTTTGCAATTTATGTCTTGCACATCTGCGATGGGTTTGTGGACCGCATAGTGGATATGCGATCGCATAACCATCGCATAAGCTACTGCCTCCCTTCCTTTATCTCCAACGTAATTCCTATGACATTTCACCCACTCACACAATGTTTCATCAACAGGAATGGCACCAAAGACGTCTCATCCAATGCGTACACCTCCCGCTCATGGAAAGAAACGGGGTGCTACTCCGAGCCAACAAGCACAACAAGCCAAACGTCAGTGGGCTCAGGCAATTCGCATTACTCCTGAGCACTCCTCCCAGTCTGAAGAGGAGGAGCCACAGAGTGACCTCAGGCCATCTGTTGATCTACAGGCTAAAGCACGAAGGAACATGGGGGAGGAACTTAATCATCGGTTTGGAGTCACAGGCTCCATGAATCTGTATAAAGAAGGGCTATCAAAGAGAAATATTCTCGAGGAGAAATAGTTGATTTTAAATGGGCTGAAGGAGCACTACCCTCATATAATCAAGAACATCAAGCGGAGGAAGTGGGAATTCTTTACTGAGGTCCCTGATGAATACAATGAGACGTTTGTGAGGGAATTCTATGCTTCGTATGGTGCATCAAGGACTGCTGAACATAAGCGAAACAAGATATTTGCACAATCTATCCTAGTTCGAGGGGTCCAAGTTCTTTGTGATGACGCAACTATAATGACCTGTACTTTGAGGAGTGGAGATCAGGGATAGCTGAGTATGAGCCTAAGGTAGCTAACAAGAACAACTAGCGTGCCTGGATTGCCTCTTTCATAGCAATGGGGACACCAGCCTGGATTGACCCTAAACACAAGATTTACAAGGAGGATCTCACACGGGAGGGTCGATATTGGCTCAGATTTGTCACATCCCGTCTGATGCCATCGAGGAATGAAACTGACATCAACATTGAGAAGGAACTCCTCATTGCGTGCATCATGACATGCATAAAGATTGATGTGGGATAGATCATATTCTGGGAGCTAGGAATCAAATCAAACTAGGAACAAACATCACTTCCTTTCCCATGTTTGATCACTGCTATCTGCAAAGCTGTAAATATGCCTCCTATGCCAAAGCATGACAAACTGGAGAAAGCTCTTAAGGATATTGACACAATGCAAATCAGTGACGCAGTAGACAAGGAAACTGCAACTCAAATAGAGACTCAAGTTCCTCCTCCAGCAGACTCAGCAGCGTCAGAGGCCCAACTGCCTAACACCTCTCAGGCCCCAGCTACCTCCACAGCTACTCCATAGCACACCACTGCACAGCCCCATGTTCCCTTACCATCTCTTACCAAGCTGGGTCTACTAGCTCAGCACGCCAATGCTAAGGTAGACCACCTGATAAAGGAAATCCCAAACCTCATCTAGTAAGCATTGATCCCTGTCCAATCCTCAGTGAGTGTTCTTCAATAGCATCATAAAACTTATGAGGATCGCCTAAAGCACTTTGAAGTGGGTCTTGAGAAGGTAGAGCGCGGTGAGGTTGTAGGTATGCCTCAGCTCAAGAAGGATGTTGATGAATTGAAAGCATATCTGCAGAAGATGCAGAGTTTGGAGTTTGCCTTGACACCCTTCGTCCCGAAGGAAGGTGAGCAGGGTGCTGGCACTTCCATTCCAGGAAAGGACTTTGATTTTACAAACTTGATGATAGCTCCAAAGGCAAAGAGTGTTGAGACCTCAAAGGCTCCAGCCCCTCCTGTACACATTGACGTTCCTTCAGAGGAGGGATCCAGAGATACTGAGGAGTCCAATGAGGGGGATTCAGAAGATGAGAAAACAGATAATGATGCAATGGTAGAGGATACTGAGGGTCATCAGGACAAGGGTAAGAAAGCGGTTGTTTCTACGATTGCACAGGATGAAAAGGAAGCAGTTGTGCAGACGGAAATTGCACATTCTCTAGCGGATATGGTCGCCAAGGCACTTCCATCGACCACTCAGCCATCACTAGGCGAGGCTAGCATCTCCCAGGCCCTAGACCCAGCCTTACAGTAGGTGGAGCTTCCTGATCCAACCTCACAGCAGATGGAGCTTACTGGTCCTTCCTCACAGTAGTTGGAGCCTCCTGCTCTAGCCGTGGAGGCCACCACCCAGTCTGAGGTTCCACCAGTTGCACCTTCAGTTCCAGTAGATGACCCCACAGCTGTCCCAGATGCTTCAGCCCCTCCGAGCGCCTAGTGCGTCCCAAGAAGTCCCTGAGCTTCCTTTTTACATTATCTATGCATTGGGGACAATGCATGATTTTTCGTTGGGGGTGGGGTAGTCATGTTTTGTGTAAATATTGTACATAAACTCTTTACTCTAGTAGTATAGTTTCATAGTTAGCAATGAATTCCCCTTGGTTTTTTTTTGCCGGGTTCTTTTCCATAGGTGTAATAGTAGAACCACGGCGATAGCATGAAATGTTTTGACTTTTTTAGTGTTGATTGTTGTAGCTTCAAGCATTTGATAAATTGTGTAAATACATGGTACCCTTCCTTCTTTTGCGTATATATAAAAAAAATATGTTTGGTTAGTCATTCTTGTGAATGTGAGCCTCGCTCTTTGACTTTATGCTTATTCAGAATCTTACATATCTTGAGATGAAAGTTTTGAGTTGCCTTGTGTTCACTTGAGGGCTGAAAGTATGTTGAGTTGAACAATTCATGCGTTGTGGGTGAGTGAGGATTTGTACAAATAACGCATATGCCTAACTTCTGATGTCTAGAACTTGCCCGGTTGGTTTCTTAGTGCAACTCTCAGGTTAATGATTGGATGCTGAAATGATCTTAGGCTCTCTTTGTGACAACTAGCTAGTTTTGCCCAAATTGACCTCCCTGGTATTAATTACCCTAGTTACCCCCGTTGAGCCTTTAACCTTTCATTGGCTACCACATTACAACATTTACCCCTTCGGTGAAATAATTCCTTCTTTTGAACCCATCCCTCCTTGAACGGGTAAGAATGAGGCTAAAAGCCTAAGTTGGAGGTGTCGTTACAAAGTGGAAATTGGTAAGGTTTACTACTGTGTGTAGAGAAAAAAAACAATAACCTCAAAATTGTCTATATAACGAAATACAAGCTCCAAAAAGATATATATATATATATATATATATATATATATAAGAAAAAAGAGAAAAAGAGTGGAGTCTTGTGGAAATCGAAGAAATACTTTGAGGTGGTTCTAGGCCGGTAGCCCGAGGTATATAAGTGCTATGTAGCAAAGGAGCATAATATATGTAGTGTTCAAGGAGGGTATAGCCACTATATTCCCAAATATTCATCCAACCCGTCCCGAAGCCTACATTACAACCCGTGAAAAGTAATTAGTGATCTACAGCCAATCATTCCTGAGATAGCCACAAAGTTAAAATAAGGGCAAGCATATGGACTGATACTTGTAGCATGTAGCTTTCGTTCTGAGTGCTAGAGTGTTTTAATTGCATCCCCTGTATATATGTGTGAGTTATTTTTGTGAGCGCGCATGAATTGTAAGATTTAGCAGATGTTAGGTTCTTGAAGTTGAATACAAGTGCACTTAGTTGTGAATAGCATTTTGTCATTTTGGTTGAGGCTCTAAGGTCACGAGTTGATTAGTCGAATGGTTAAGTGATATGTTGTATT